ATAGTGCGATGAAGGAGGAAAAACTGCTGAAATCGGTGTTTCCAAAGTGAAAAAGGCCCAGAAAAATCGCTAAAAAGGGGGCTGGACGAGAATGAGACCAGAAAAATGGGCGTCTGGACGAGTTGTGTGTAGGTCCTGGTGCGAGTAGCTGACTACAGTAAGCAAAAATTCATCCACTCATAAGCAAAAGTTAACAAAAAACCCTAGTATCGGCAAAAATAGCCCACCTTTTTCAACCTGCTAGGGTAGAAAATTAAATTAGGAATCGCAACAGCAAAAAGAATAAAAGAGAATAAACGAATAGTACAGTAATATGCCCTTATTAGTCGACGATCAGCTGATATGTGTGGGTCCTAAAGCGAATATTGCAATCTGTATCGCCTCGACACTTGTCTGACGTGACATCGATCGAGGGGCGGAAGTCCGGCGATCCGCTATTGGAGCACCCACTATGCGCTAGCTGTTGACTGCTTGGTTTTAGGACTCACAGCGTCCTTTCTGTTACCCTTGTGGGCCACTGGGTGTTCCTAGAGGGAGATCATGAACCGCGCAGAAACAATTTTCATCATGAACCGTGCCTTTAAGCGATGCAGAACGGATCCACTCGAATGCCTTTTCCTGAAAATGGTTAGATTTTTGACACAGGTCTAGCGATTTGAAATTATTACCCTTTTTTCGATTTCGAGATGAAAATCTTTTAAGTTGTTGGATGCAGGACGTTTCGGTGATAAAATCTTCAAGTGAATGTGAATTACCGGAATTCATAAAATTCTGTGAGAGCACCCGAATATTTGAAATCACACTAATTTTCAGCTTTTTAAGAGCGCTAAAATATCAGAAACATCGCTCTATCCGTTGGTGGCAGGTATCATTACCAACCACAAAATCGAATTTCACTGAATTCAAACAGGTGCTCGCCACATCAGAATTCGCTTTATCAAAGCAGACTGGTAAAAAATCGGAACAAAACAGCAGTTTGATAGGTTTGTGGACTGACCACGGTTTGCTGCGACCATGTCCTGGCCAAGTAGTTTTTCAGTTAGACTTACACAGTAACATGCTCACAAAAACAATCCTGTATACTATTCATAGCAGGCAGCGTCGTTCGGAATGCCTGACTTATTGTCATTCGAATTTTACTGCATTGCTGATGTTTTGATGAGTTGCGAGTGTTTGTGTATTCATTCAAAGATCAATTCCTTCGGTACATGACAGAAACGCAAATTCCGGTTCCTGCAGTCATTGGTGTGGGTGTGAGTACTTCCTCCCGCAAGTCGCGTCGCACCCCCCGCCATCCGTCGCGTATCGTAGTACTGCGATGGTTGATTGGAGCGCGCAATGTGTCAATAAGATTTGCGTTGAATAGCTGCATATTGGTTTATTTGTTGTTATGAAACCTGATATTTCATTACAAAAAACATTGTTGATCAGTCACGAGACAAAAAAGATAGGAAGCTGAAGAAAGTATCAAAACAAACCGAAAAAGCAAAGCGGGCAAAGAAAAAAATTAGGTTTATCGATTAAAGGGGAGGCGAGCCGAATACTGTGGGTGTGGTGCATTAGGAACGAAATGGTCGCGTCGCGGTGAGATGGGGGTCGCGCGCGAAAGAATGTGGCAGGATGCAGCAGTAGGTAAGAAATACAAAAAGAAAAGTACTAATAGTAGAATTACGCATAAAATAATGATCGCATATCGATTGAGCTGTATGAAGAACGCTAGAGCTGTAATAACGGCGAATGAGTGGGCCGCGACAGCCGCGTGCGGCGAACCGATCACCCAAAATCGTTCCTAACGTCCGTCTCTCGAATACTGTAATTGCAGCTTGAAGCCGCGAGACAACTAAAAAAGATT